AAATACCATAAGCTTCCGATCAGTCGTCTATACTCTGTTGCATTTACCAGTGTCCCTTCTTCATCTTTGGATAAGTGGAGTCTTGGCTCCATTGGATATTTGGATGGATTACACTCCAACATCCTAGCTTCCTGTAGTATTTTTCTTGCACAACCACTTTGTTTAAGAAAAATGCCATTACAGCTTTGTTGTACTTCGATGCCGAGATAGTATGAGAGCGTTCCCAAATCACTCATTTCGAACTCTCCCTCCATTTGTTTCATAAATGCCAGAATCTCTCCTTTACTAGTTCCTGTTACAATTAAATCATCAATGTGAACACCGATAATTATCATCGAATCACCGGTATATCGCTTGTACATTGCCTGTTCTTGTGGGCATTTTCTAAATCCAAGTTGTTTGAGTGTGTTATCAAGTCTCATATTCCAAGCTCTCGGAGCCTGCCATAACCCATACAATGCCTTGGATAATTTGTACACCATGTGCTCCTTCCCGGTTGTAGTAAAACCTTCGGGTTGAGATACGTACACTTCATCCTGCAAGTCATCATGAAGAAAGGCTGACTTAACATCGAGGTGGTGAACTTCCCAACCTTCCCGGGCAGATAAGGCAAGTATTAAACGCACCGTCTCTAATCGTGTGATAGGAGCAAACACTTCATCAAAGTCTACTCCCTTTTGTTGCACATAGGCTTTTGCGACCAACCTTGCCTTGTGCTTTGTCACGTTTCAGCAGCGTCCCTCTTTATCTTGAAGACCCATTTGAGACCGATGGGTTTGTACCCCACCAGCAACTCCGTTAGCTGCCACGTTTTGTTTCTTTCGTTCGATTCAATTTCTTTCCGCATCGCTTCCTCCCAGTTCTTATCACCAACAACTGTGTGATAATTAGTCGACTCATCAAAAGCCAACATTAACTCCTTAAGATCGAGCTCAATCGGTTGTGATCTTGCATAGATTTCATCTAATGACCTGAAACCTCGAATGGGTGTTTCATCATAGGTAGAAGAATCAGGTGTACTTACAAATGTCGATGGTGCCACTCTGGCTGCTGGTGAGTGTTCTGATGGTGTATTTGGTGCTGCTTCCTCCACGCCAGTCTCACCAGATTCGTCTTCATTTATTGGAGTATCCCCCTAGTCTCAGAATATTCACCAACAACAAACTTTGTCCACTACGGACTGTTATAGTTTTCTTCGTTGGGATGTTCACTCCAATCCCACTTCTTACTTTCTTCAAATGCTACATCACGACTTACACATATCTTCCCTTGTTGTGGATCATAGAGTCAATGTGCTTTGCTTCCTGATTCGACACCTAAGTATACCATCGGCCTGCTTCTGTAATCAAGTTTAGTCAAACGAATAGAGGGTACCTTCACATATCCGGTGCAACCGAAGACTTTAAGATGTTCAAGGTTGGGTTTCCTTCCTTTCCATGCTTCATATGGGGTTTGGTTTTTCACTGCTCTAGTTCGAACGCGGTTCAGCAGGTACACTGCATGGCAGATAGCTTCTCCCCACATGTTTTGAGAGACAGACATTGCTTTTAGGAGACTTCTTGTAGTCTCAAGTACAGAGCAGTTACGACTTTCTACCACCCCGTTCTACCACCCCTTTCTGTTGAGGGGTGTAAGGAGCAGTCAGTTGTCGGTTCACTCCCTGTTCTTTACAAAAATCAACAAAGTGCTAAGAAATAAATTCTCCACCACGGTCTGTTCTCAATGCCTTCAATTTAAATGAGCTCTCATTCTCTATCTGCATTTTGAACCTTTTGAACGCGAGCAAAGCTTTATCTTTTGTCTTAATAACATATACCCACATGAATCGGCTATAATCATCAACTAAAAGAAAGAAGTACCGATTACCGGCTGATGTACATGGTGTAATTGGACCGCATAAATTTGCATGGACTAGCTCCAGTGGTTTTTTAGCACGATATTGTGTTTGAACAGGAAACGGTATCCTGCATTGCTTTCCAAAGAGACATGCTTCACACAACTGTGTAGGATGAGTGATGTTTGGAACTCCGTGCACCATCTCCTTAGCAACCATCTGTTTCATTGTTGGGAAGTTGAGATGCCCCAACCGGGCATGCCACAACTAGGCTGCCTCATCCAAGCTGACAGCGAGACACACTGGTATAGTTGCGTGGAAATGGGTTTTGTACAAATGATAAGTGTTAATTTATTAACCTTATTACATCATTTTCTTAACCATTTTCCTTTGTTTTATTTGCCTATTAGTGTCTTAATTGAGTCTTTTTATGTCTTTTTCATATATTACTAGTAATATAGTATACCTAATGTTAATCCCCTGTTTATGCAGGTTTTTGATGATTTTTGGGCCCGATCCTGCAGCAGTCCTGTAGGACAAGGAGTGGTAGAGTTCTATAGCACCTGTCCGGGAGTTGCACTTCTGTCGGGGCCGTGAATTCGTTGGCTGCTCCTTAGAGATTGTTGGGTCAACGACCTTGGGCCTGGTCAAAGCCCATCTTTGAAGAGCTTTTTGTCTTATTAGGTGGCTCCCACTTGGCAAGCTCCCTTAGCCTATAATTAGAAGGCTTAAAGCTTGTTTTAAAGACATTTTTTTCATGCTTTCTACCATTTAACACTTATGATGGTGATAATTTCTCTCTAGAATATTGCTTTCGGTATCAAGCTTTCGGTTTTCTTGCTTCCAACCAAGAACTGATTTTTGTGAAGTGAAGTTGTGATTACGTTTTCAAGTTTAATTTAAGTGCTTGTATTTAATTTTCATCTCATTTCTGTTTTTTATTTCCAAGTTACGTTACGTTTTCTTACTTTTGTTACGAGTTACGAATTAGTCGATCGTTGTTGCTTTACATTGGATCTCATCCTTTGTGGCTCACGACTAATTTACATAGACTAAATAATCTGTTTTTTAGAGTTTGCAAGTAACCTTTTCGGTCTTTGTAACAAAACTTGTTTTGCAAGTTTTGTTACTTGACTTGCAAGTTTCCTCAAAGTCAAACTCTCTTTCCAAGGTTGCCATTAGTCATTTCCTCATCCCATCAAGTACTATTTCTCATACATCATGTCTTAGATTAATATTAATTAATAATATTTAGTTATTAATAATTTATATTTCAGTCTTTTACATTTCAGTCTTTATATTTCAGTCTTTTACATTTCAGTCTTTATATTTCAGTCATTTACATTTCAGTCTTTATATTTCAGTCCTTTACATTTCAGTCTTTACTTTACTGCAATTTACATTTCTGTCATTTAATTTCTAGCAATTTACTTTCAGTCATTTATATTTCAGTCATTTAATTTCCAGTACTTTAAATTCCAGTATTTCCATTTCTTGTAATTTACTTTCTGCAATTTATTTTCTGCAATTTACTTTTCCTTATCAGTTATTTATTTTTCAGTCCTTACATCCTTCGAGAGAAGAAACCGAGCGATGATGGGCTAACGCCTTAGCTTGGGGTGTAACGGGAAATTAAGACCAAAACCAATGTGAAAGTACAAAGGTGTCTTATTAACATTATAGTCTACTATTTATTTCAGTTGCTTAATATTTCATTTRATGATTACATTAAAATTAATTGACAACTAATTTTGTGTATAAAATGTATTGACTTTCAAAACCTGAGGTAATAGGAGAAGGCTATAAATAGCTTTAGTGTCTGACAAACRCTATACTCCTACGGTGTAGGATGGTAACACTGTGTTGTACTAGGATTCACGACGTCTAACATAAATGATATCGTATCGATAGCACGTTGACCGGTGTGTACTCTTGGGAGGCCGTCTGACCCGATAGTTGATACTGTCATATTATATAAAATCATTTATTGATTTTAGATAATTATGACAGGAATGCTATGTCACTTTTTTGCTGAATCATTTGTTTAATGTCTTAATCAACTGTTGCACCATGTGCTTCTTTTTAAGATTGATATTTTCTTAGTTGTTAATCAAACATCCCAATTTTAGATAAATCAAATCCCTCGTTTCGCCATCTGAAATTAATTTTTATAAACTAGACTTTTGAAATAACTTTACAAGCTATCTCTTCTTCACGTACCCGCAACTGGTGGTAGCCTGAACGTAGGTCGATCTTTGAGAAGTAACTTGCTCCTTGTAGTTGATCGAATAAGTCGTCTATTCGAGGTAGTGGGTATCTATTCTTTATTGTCGCCTTATTCAACTCCCTATAGTCGATGCACATGCGCATCGATCCATCTTTCTTTTTCACAAATAGCACTGGTGCTCCCCATGGGGACGAACTCGGTCGGATGAACCCTTTATCCAACAATTCCTGGATTTGGGTCATTAGTTCTTGCATCTCCGAAGCTGCTAGTCGATATGGTGACTTAGCAATCGGTGTGGCTCCGGGTGTTAATTCAATCCTAAATTCGACTTGTCTTTCAGGAGGTACCCCTGGTAGGTCGTCAGGGAACACATCAGGGAATTCCCGAACCACCGGGACCTCTTCTATAGCTCCCTTTTCTATTTTAGCATCTATGACGTAAGCTAAGTACGTCTCACATCCTTTRCGAATACATCTYCTAGCTTTGATTACTGATATGAGGTTAACGTGGTTGCCAGGCCGGCTACCGTACACAGTGATCTCATTCCCATCCTTATTTCTCACTCGAATTAGTTTCTTAAAGCAAATAATGTGAGCTTGGTGTTTAGACAACCAGTCCATTCCTACGACAACATCGAATTCCATAATCCCCATAGGTAATAAGTGGACCTCAAAGTCTTGACCCTCAATTTCTATTGTGCAGTTATCAAAACACTCCCCACCATGGTGATGTTACCATCAGCAGTTTCAACCTCTAAGTTTTGACTAAGTAACGTAGGAGACCTTCCCAATCGCATGCAAAACTTAGTGGAGACAAAAGATTTATTTRCACCCGAATCAAATAACACTCTTGCAGGTATTTTGTTGACTAGAAATGTACCTGTCACTACATCGGGTGTGTCCTTTGCTTCTTCCGCTGTCATCTGAAAGACTCGACTCTTCACTTTTGGCGCATCCAGCTTCTTCCCGTTTGATCCTCCGAGCAACCTCGGTGGCTCCGTTTCTTCTTGGGGCATTCCCTTTGGCGATGTCCGGGATCACCACACGAGTAGCAAATAGGTCTAGCCTTGCATTCTTTTGACATGTGCCCAGGCTTTCCACAAGTAAAGCAAACTCCYTTGCCATACCTGCATTCACCTGGATGGTTCCTTCCACATGTGACGCAAGCAGTTATTGCCCCATTCTTTCCCCCAAAGACTTGAGTTCTCTTGAATTTTCCCGGGTYAGCTTGATTGATCTTCCTCTTCTTAGATGCATCCGGAACATAACTGTCCTTCTCAGCAAGGGTGGCCAACTCTACCGCATCTTGAAAGGTAGTAGGTTTTGACATTCCAACAAGCCTCCTAAGTTCCCTTTTCAGTCCGTCCACAAACCGATTCACCTTCCTCATCTCGGTATTCACCTGATGCCCTGCAAATCGTGACTTCTCAATAAAGATCTCCACATATTTCTCCACAGTCATGTTTCCCTGCTCCAATTGTAGGAACTCACTTTCTAATATTCTCAACTGGAGTGGTGAGAAAAACTTTTCGCTCATTAACTCCTTGAATTCCTYCCAMGTGAGAGATGCAGTCCCAGATAGTCCCCTAGCGGCTCTAATTGATTTCCACCATTGCAAGGYATTCGATTTGAACTTGGTTGATGCGAACTGCACCATATCATTTGGTGCACAATGACATGTCAGGAAACAACTCTCCATCTCATYGAGCCAGTTCATAGCTGCTAGTGGTCCATTTTTGCCCTCGAAAACCGGTGGGCGAGTACTGGTGAAAGATTTGTAACTACATCCCCTATCACTAGGTTTCTTAACCTCATTATGATCGAAGAGTGCCTCCC